AATTTTAAATTGGAACCGAATATGAATAAGGTAAATGTCAAGAGTAAATTAAAATTAATATTAGACTTAAAATAACTAATTGATAACTTATAGACCAAGATTTAAATTAGATAACTATAGTTTTTTCAAGTATAACCAACGCTATTCAACTTCATTCAACATGTCAAATAAGTTTAATAAAGTTTAATAAACTTCATTCAACACTATTTTCTTCCTTTTTTTTTTTTTGCCGTGTGTTGACCGTTGTTTATATATGCTTTTTTTCCTACATTTTCTTAGAAATTTTCATAATCTTTATAGCTATTACTTCCACAATTATAGTTTAATTGATTTATGTATTTGATGCACTAGAGATACTTTATTTATTCATTAATATTATTAATTTATTATACTATATAATGTAAACAAAACGACGTCGTTTTGTATGGCGGGGCGAGACAGGTTTCACGGGTATTAAAAATTTTGAACCCGTCTAAGACCCAAACCCACGGTTCTTCACCATTTTAGGACCCAATTCTATGGATGGATGTCCGGTCCCAACGGGACGGTTTTTCACGGGTTTGACGGGTATAGCGGGTTATGGGTCCGACTTGCTCACCCCTATATTCGAATGTCGCGGTTCATTATGTAACCAAATATATGAATTAATTTTATTGATTGAATTATGTGCTCATTGGACAATTATTTAAAAATGAAATATTATTCAACATGATTTTTGAGTATGTATTTGATTTATCACAAGTTCAATTTTACAATTATTCAAAAAAATAAGATGTTACACCTAGACGTATTCATTTAAAAAAAAAATGTATGTTTAATGTTGCAGAATTGTATTTTCTATCAATTCGTTTTGTAACAATAAAAGTATATAAATTCATATCATGGTGATTTTTCTTTGAAAGTTTCTTCATTTTGAAGTATTATTCAACCAGTTCCCCCAAATCGAAAAATCGTTTAGGCAAATTACTTTTGTTTGCTTTTAAAAAAGGGGCTATATGCCAAACACCCTTCATTAGGATTTTAATTCTTGATAAATCCTTTATTTATAAATAATATTTGAGATAAATCCAATGGGCCTGAAAAACCATATATGCCCCCACTAATTATTTTTATTAGTTAGTATAATTATTTAATTTAAAATAGAATTATACCCATAATCTACACCCAAATCTTCTCCAAAAATTATTCCACTCATCACGCCAATTCAGTTTATTTTTCCTTTTCTTTTTTATTTTGTTTAATGGTTTTCTTTATTTCGATTTAAAAGAAATTTTTGTATTTACTTTATTTTTTTATTTTCGGTTTTTTATTTTAATTTTTTTTTCTTATTTATGTTTTTCATGTTTTTTATTTTAATTTAAAAAAATGGTTTTATTTTTATTTTTATTTTTACATTGTTTTTCTTTTTTCTTAATTTCAATTTTTTTTTAAAATGGTTTATTTATTTATTTTCTTTCTAGCTTTTTTAAATAATAAACCACTCTATTAAACATGAAAACCACTCTTTTTAAACGGACATGTAACTTTGAAATCCGGCAATATATCAAAACCACTCTGTAATTTTAAAAGATCGATCGACTATATGCTAAAATCACATAACAATGGGGGAGAAAAATCATGTGCATTCATATTAACATTATTTCGAACAATGTTAAAACCATGACTATTATGCACTTATGCAGGTTGCGGAAAAGCACGAAAACCACTATGTATTTTGTTGAGACAAACTTCCTGCTTAATTAGACTCTATATTTTGTTGAGACGAAAACCACTTTGTATTTTGTTGAAAACCACTGTATTTTGTTACGTAAATGCAAAATTATACCCACAACTTAAAAGTAATTTTGAAAACCGGCATTGTGAAGAACCACTCTGTATTTTGAAAATCGATATTGTGTGAAAACCACTCTGTAATGTGTGAAAACCGGCATTGTGTGAAAACCAATCTGTATTTTTCCTCCACGGGTTTCCTCTCTCCACCGCCGCCACCGGCCGATAGATTCTCGGAACTCAGCCCTCCGGTTTCCTCTCTCCACCGCCGCCACTGGCCGATGGATTCTCGGAACTCAGCCCTACTTTGTACAGACACACTAATGTCCTAAGTATAGAGCCATTAATGAATAGCTTCGTTGGAAAGACCAATGCCTAATGGGTTAGACATTCTTACCAACCATTGTTGTTGTGGTTCTGGAAACATTTAATTATTGAGAGAGAGAGAGAGAGAGAGAGAGAGAGAGAGAGAGAGACGTATACTAAAATTATGATGATTAGAATTCTGCAATCAATAAGCGAGAATCGTGGAATTATTTAAGAACGAGTTATTTAAGATATATATGGAAAAGATATTATATATCTTTTAATATCAAAATTAAATATATATTATTCCTTAGTTAGGGGGTATAATTGTGATAATTAATTATTTTTAATTAATAAAAACTGTTTTGGATTTATCTTAAAATTATAAAATAAAATTGGACTAACTGTAATGACACTTGTGTAATTGGGGGCTTTTGTCAAATTATCCCTTTAAAAAAAGTAAAAAAAAAAATTGTCTATATAGCACGAAAACTTCAACTTCTCAACGTTTCAGCATTTCGGAAACTCAAAAACATCTACCGGACACCTTACGGATCATTATGCAATTTCTAAAAAGTTAAAAACATGTTTGAATAGCAATATATGATTTAATGATCAATTGCAAATTAATAGTTGATAGTAAAATTTATTTTGAATATGTTTGTATAAAAATATATAAAAATAATTTATTTATAAATAAAAACACATATATGTTTATATAGAATATATATAACTACACGACTATATTTTTAAGGGGTTTTATAAGCCTATCTCTTTAATATTTATTATAAATAAAGGAAACATTCATGTATATGACAGTATTACCTGTAACACCCCTTAATTTTTATTATGTTCTATAATAATAGTTTATACATTTATATTATTGAAGTTTATTCATTAATGATGGTAATATAGTAATATGGTGAATTTATATGGTTTAGATGTTATTGATAAAAATAGTTGGGGAAAAAGAGTAAATAAGGTAATTTACAAGGGCTGATATAGTATTAAGGAATAGTTAAGGCAGATAATGATTCTATATATTTAGACTTAGGCAGCAAGGATCTGACGTTTAAGAGGATAATTATAAGATTAAGTAAAATTTAAGGAGAAGACACGTATTATAATCGACGAGTCATCTTCCCCTTCATCTTCATCCGATCATCAATCTTCTTTAAAAACCCCCCTTCTGCATATAAATTCCACACCATCTTCCACTTAATCTCAGCAAGAAAAACCTCCCCATAATCCCAAGAAATATCTTCTATCACAAACCATAGAGAGAAGTCAAGAAAATACGAGGCAGCCAGGGTTTAATCGACGGAGACAAAGATGGTGACTTGACGATCTTTCCGGCGGAGTTTTGGCGAGCGGGGTATAGGGCTCGAAAGCCCTCTGTATAAGCTTCGATTTGGTGGAAATTTCCGGCTTGTTTCTCCGGTGGTGATAGTTGTGATCCGACGGCGAAGTTCAGCTGATCCTAAAACCTTTCGGATTTAATTAGAGGTATTTAGAATTGAAATTTCGGATTTATTTCTTCATCAAAATTGTAGGATAGGCTGAATATTGTTCGAATGATTGATTTTCCCCAATTTTTAGAACCCTTGTTGAAACTGATTTTTGACTCTACAGTAGGTTCAAAGGAATTTTCGAAAATATAACTTTAGTTGTTACTCTGATTTTCGGAACAGAATTTGGGAGCTTTGGAATTCGAATTTTAAAATCGTTTCTTCTCAAACATCATAGATTTTCTGGAATACGTTAATTATATGTTGAAGCTCGTTCCATATGATTGAGTTCTATAGGCTTTTTGAACGGAGGAATATGGGCGTTGAAACTGTCAATTCTGGCAGCTCGTATGATTATTCTTTTCGGGCTGTTTTCTGTATATTCGAGTTATAATTTGAGTTTGATGTCTTCTGTCCATTTGTAGATGAATTCGTTACGTTCGATTTCATATACTATTTGTTAAATTTGGATAACATTTCGAATTATTACAATTTTTCAAAAATACTGCCAGAAAAAGGATTTTGTAAATGCTGGCAGTTTTTATTAACCTGTTCGGGGGCTGTTTCAACTATGTTATGCTCATAATTTGAAAATGGTTTCTTCATTAAACTCTTAGATATTGTTCTTGGCTTTAATTTGATATATAATTTGTTCTGTTTCGAGATATGTATAGCATGTTATTAGTTTTCAAATAAGTTGTACCAGAAATGAATTTTCAATGTTCGGCAGTACTGTTACGTGCTGGTTTTTGGAAATTCTGCTATTTTTGGTTCAGAATCTGGGGTGAAAGTCTTCTGTGAACTCGTAGTATTATTTGTTAGCTTTCATTCGGTATATCACATGAGCTATTTGGATAAACGTGGAATTTGTTATGAATTTTTAAAACTGTGGCAGCACATACGTTTTATTATTATGTTAAAAAAAAAAAGTCGTCATATATGAACATATTTTATTGGTCTTCGTCCTGTTAACATAAACGCGATGGTTATGTGGTAAGTTTTGATGTTAGTTACGGGGTTAGATTAATTTAGAATTGGTAAGTGAATTATTCGACCTTAAGAACATATAAAGCTAGGAAACGTAGAGTGTATATTATTTCATTTTAATAAATAATTTGGTGTCTTATAGTTTAAATATTGCTTAGGTTTTGAGATCGAGGAACCGTGATCGACGAGTACTCTTGATTGGACCAAGGTGAGGGTTCTCTTGCTTGACCTTTTCTGGGAATATGATAAACTCGGGTAATTGTATCGCTCGAGTACTTGAATTCTGCCCCTTTCATTGAATTGATCTATTCGTTTTCATTTTTGATTATCGTTATTTGAAATTGATTGGATTATGTTAATCTTGTGATTATTTGAGAAATCCCACCTATCGAGAGTTCAACTCTTCGATTTCCATTTTGCTTCGAATAACAGTTATTGAATGATCGGTATGAAATTCTTTGAAACCGATCGTTTTCCTTCAATTTTTATTCAATTATCTAAACTTCACATCTTGAAACATCGAGCCCTCTTTGAAACCTTTCACTCGATCCCATTTCTTCGGAATTCTTTTGTCTTTGAAATCCTGAAATAATTCGGATAATATGGTCTTCTTATATGACCGATGAAGTCCTTTTGGGACGCCTCAAGGACAATGGATATTAATGGGCCCGGGGCTGTTTGGAGGTGACCGCTGGGCGGTATCGGGCCGACGGTGGGTAGTCTCTCCAACAGTACCCACATAGGTTTAGACCCGTACACAACTGGAGGTTAGTTGGGTTTCGGGCTAAACCGGCATGCGCCCGGGCATGCCACATTGCATTACAGGGTCATTCCCTGATCGGTGAATAAGGTAGTAAATGGCTACGGGAGTCACAAGGTAGGTGTATTCTTATCTCTATTGATCGGAAAATCGATTGATCATTCTTACTATTATTCTTGAATTTCCAATCGAAATATAACCGTTAAACGCTTCTATTTTCGATATCACCTAATGGTTCGATCATTGAACTCTCTCTCAGATCATGTCGTCACTCGTTATTCTTATATTTCACCTCACTAAGTCTTCTATGACTTATCCCTCTACTTTATTCTGTCATATTCTCAGACACAGGTGCGGCTTGAATGCATCAGAGGAATTCCCGTTCGAGTAACTACCTTGTTTATATTTGTAAAATAGTGGTTCGATTAAGTTAAGAATAATCGTTGTCTTGTATTATAAATATCAGCGTTTGAATTTATTTATGTTATAGTATTGTAATCTCATAAGCTAGAAACTGCTGTTGTAAATGTCCGGAACCTTTGTACTTTACCTTGCTAGACATGAGGTTGTTAATAAATAAATCGTACGTATTTTTGTGAACTATAGTTTGATTAGTATTATTCAAGAAGAAAAAAAATATAGACAGATTCTTTCAATAGAGTAATTTTGACAAACGCTTCATAGAAGGCGGGCGTCACAGGTGGTATCAGAGCTTAGGGTTTAGGCTCTTCCACAAATTACGAATTTAGCAAATCTAGATGCCTTTTGGAGAATGCGTTCGACGTAGATCTCGACTTATTCCCTCTTTTAGTGATTAATAATGAACCTACATGCGCTATCACCTATGTTGAATCTGATTACGATCGAGTTAGGCTACGTAGTCTTCTCATAAGCCGTCACAATGTTTGCTACAGTAGTTGACTGTTTTATCTAGCATATGCATTTATGATGTTCTCTTTATGCGTAGTAAGAAAGCCTGTCTATCATAGATATGTGTATAAGGGCTTTTGAAGCACACGGTTATAGTCACATGCCTCGATATATGCTATTTATTCGATGTTATCTAGGTATTAAGAGCTGATATATAGTAACCTCATTAACTCTTGTAAATCAAACTCGTATTCGAGTATATATGATCACTATCATTTAGTAAAGATACCTTTTCTAGGTTATTCTATATATTTTCGTGTTCGTACATATACTCCTATACTAGAATTAATCCGAGTTAGTGTCGCGCATAATTGATATCATGTCAATTGACACTAACTGTAAAACCTGACCTTGTATAACCTCTGTATAACCTGACCTTGACCTTCTATAACCTGACCCAGAATGTCTTTTCTGGGGAAACTTCCCGAGAGCCTAACTCAAGCATGTTCATTGGCGATATCTCCAAATCGTCACGATAGTTCGTCTCATATCCCTGAAGACGATGAAACCATGATGGAACCAAATAATACTAAGACTCACGAAGCGACCGAAGCACCACAAGTTCCTCGAGAGGCAACAACGCCAGAAGTACAATCAATGCTAACTATGTGGCAACAATTTATGCAATTCTGTCAACAACCACCACAGACGGGCGTGCCAATGGCCGAACATGCGATGCCTACGGAGGACCAAAGGTTTGAGAGATTTCTTCGATTTCGACCACCGAAATTCGTAGGCGAGCCTGATGATCGCAAGGCAGAAAATTGGCTTAACGAGCTGGAAAAGATTTTTGAAATTACTAACTATTCTGACTCTCAAAAGGTTAGTTATGCCGCTTTCCAGCTAGAAGAAACTGCATGTCATTGGTGGCGTGTAGTGAATCAGAAGTGGGCTCAAAACAACAATGCTCGAACTTGGGCTAACTTCGTCCAAGAATTCAATGAGAAGTTCATACCACAAGTGGTGAAAAATGCTAGAGAGAGGGACTTTATGAATCTTACTCAAGGCACAATGACGGTGGCACAGTACGAAGCTCGTTTCAATTATCTAATTCGCTATGCTCCACTCGCAAAGTACGCAAATTCATTGAAGGATTAAAATTAGAACTTCGTTGGGCTATAATTTCTTCGGATGCAACAAATTATAGCGCGACGATTAATAAGGCGATGCAGATCGAGTCGGAAATGCGAGAGTTGACCCACTTTGAAGAGCGAGCGAAGAGAACTAAATTTACAAACTTGAGAGGAAATTCAAATCGAAATCCCTTTTCGGATCCGAAATATCCAAGAATGGATCAAGAGCGTTTTACAAATCGTAATCTAGTGTCAAATCATCAGAGCGGCGCTCCCCCCCATCCAGTGATGCAGAGGAAGTGTGGATTTTGCGGACTCTCCAATCATGAAGAAAATGATTGTCGAAGGAAGAAAGGATTGTGTGTTCTTTGTGGAAGTGCTGATCATATCGCACGTGATTGTCGTAGGAGACAAGAATCTCTTCATATTCCACAAGGACAAAAAGGAAAGGCTCCAATGGAGCAGCGAAGCAAGGCCAAAATTCCTGCCCGCGCTTATGCACTTGCTGGGGTGGACGAAACTGCCGAGCCAACCGCTGTCGTAGAAGGTAATGTTTGTCTACTTGGTAAATGCGGTAAACCTCATTTAGTCCCGGAACAACTCATTTGTTTATCGTATCGTCTTTCGCAAATGAGTTAGTTTTAGAAGGCTAATCATTACCTTATAATTTCGAGGTAAGCACTGCAATAGGCTCCAACATACTTACTAATATAGTATGTGTAGAGCTTGTGCCATCGAGTTAGAGAGTAAAGAAGACTGTGCAAATCTTCTAATCATAGGTTATGATCTTATTTTGGGGATGGATTGGTTGCATAAGCACCATGCCCAATTAGATTGCATAAGAAAAAAAACGTGGGAACAACTTCCATTTAGTTATATTGCACATCCTCAAACGAATGGGCAATCAAAGGGAGTGATTGGATTTTTGGAGGACATGTTTGAGAGCATGTGCCATGGATTATAGAGAAAGTTACGTAAATCGAATTCGCGTACTACAAGTGGGCACCATATGAGGCGCTATATGGTAAGTCGATCTCTATTGCATTGGGAACTTGATAGATGGAGAGTAACCAAAGACGGTCAAGAAAGAGCGCTAAGGTCGGAACTAATACAAGATGCTATTGATAAAGTGCATATCATCAAGCGACGGATGAAAGCCTCACAAGATCGGCAATAGAGCAATGGGCGTAGAAAGAACATCAAGTTTGAAGTTGGCAATATGGTGTTTCTCAAAGTGTCGCCAAGAAAAGGATTCAAACGTATTGGAAAAGGAGGGAAGCTTAGTCCACGTTATTATATAGGACCTTTTGAAATTTGTGAACGTATAGGTCGTGTAGCCTATTGGTTAATCTCATTACCCTTAACTTTTTCACACAGGTAATATTAACGATGTGTAAATCTGGGGACCAGATTTCTTTAACAGGGGGAGAGTGTAACACCCCTTAATTTTTATTATGTTCTATAATAATAGTTTATACATTTATATTATTGAAGTTTATTCATTAATGATGGTAATATAGTAATATGGTGAATTTATATGGTTTAGATGTTATTGATAAAAATAGTTGGGGAAAAAGAGTAAATAAGGTAATTTACAAGGGCTGATATAGTATTAAGGAATAGTTAAGGCAGATAATGATTCTATATATTTAGACTTAGGCAGCAAGGATCTGACGTTTAAGAGGATAATTATAAGATTAAGTAAAATTTAAGGAGAAGACACGTATTATAATCGACGAGTCATCTTCCCCTTCATCTTCATCCGATCATCAATCTTCTTTAAAAACCCCCCTTCTGCATATAAATTCCACACCATCTTCCACTTAATCTCAGCAAGAAAAACCTCCCCATAATCCCAAGAAATATCTTCTATCACAAACCATAGAGAGAAGTCAAGAAAATACGAGGCAGCCAGGGTTTAATCGACGGAGACAAAGATGGTGACTTGACGATCTTTCCGGCGGAGTTTTGGCGAGCGGGGTATAGGGCTCGAAAGCCCTCTGTATAAGCTTCGATTTGGTGGAAATTTCCGGCTTGTTTCTCCGGTGGTGATAGTTGTGATCCGACGGCGAAGTTCAGCTGATCCTAAAACCTTTCGGATTTAATTAGAGGTATTTAGAATTGAAATTTCGGATTTATTTCTTCATCAAAATTGTAGGATAGGCTGAATATTGTTCGAATGATTGATTTTCCCCAATTTTTAGAACCCTTGTTGAAACTGATTTTTGACTCTACAGTAGGTTCAAAGGAATTTTCGAAAATATAACTTTAGTTGTTACTCTGATTTTCGGAACAGAATTTGGGAGCTTTGGAATTCGAATTTTAAAATCGTTTCTTCTCAAACATCATAGATTTTCTGGAATACGTTAATTATATGTTGAAGCTCGTTCCATATGATTGAGTTCTATAGGCTTTTTGAACGGAGGAATATGGGCGTTGAAACTGTCAATTCTGGCAGCTCGTATGATTATTCTTTTCGGGCTGTTTTCTGTATATTCGAGTTATAATTTGAGTTTGATGTCTTCTGTCCATTTGTAGATGAATTCGTTACGTTCGATTTCATATACTATTTGTTAAATTTGGATAACATTTCGAATTATTACAATTTTTCAAAAATACTGCCAGAAAAAGGATTTTGTAAATGCTGGCAGTTTTTATTAACCTGTTCGGGGGCTGTTTCAACTATGTTATGCTCATAATTTGAAAATGGTTTCTTCATTAAACTCTTAGATATTGTTCTTGGCTTTAATTTGATATATAATTTGTTCTGTTTCGAGATATGTATAGCATGTTATTAGTTTTCAAATAAGTTGTACCAGAAATGAATTTTCAATGTTCGGCAGTACTGTTACGTGCTGGTTTTTGGAAATTCTGCTATTTTTGGTTCAGAATCTGGGGTGAAAGTCTTCTGTGAACTCGTAGTATTATTTGTTAGCTTTCATTCGGTATATCACATGAGCTATTTGGATAAACGTGGAATTTGTTATGAATTTTTAAAACTGTGGCAGCACATACGTTTTATTATTATGTTAAAAAAAAAAAAGTCGTCATATATGAACATATTTTATTGGTCTTCGTCCTGTTAACATAAACGCGATGGTTATGTGGTAAGTTTTGATGTTAGTTACGGGGTTAGATTAATTTAGAATTGGTAAGTGAATTATTCGACCTTAAGAACATATAAAGCTAGGAAACGTAGAGTGTATATTATTTCATTTTAATAAATAATTTGGTGTCTTATAGTTTAAATATTGCTTAGGTTTTGAGATCGAGGAACCGTGATCGACGAGTACTCTTGATTGGACCAAGGTGAGGGTTCTCTTGCTTGACCTTTTCTGGGAATATGATAAACTCGGGTAATTGTATCGCTCGAGTACTTGAATTCTGCCCCTTTCATTGAATTGATCTATTCGTTTTCATTTTTTATTATCGTTATTTGAAATTGATTGGATTATGTTAATCTTGTGATTATTTGAGAAATCCCACCTATCGAGAGTTCAACTCTTCGATTTCCATTTTGCTTCGAATAACAGTTATTGAATGATCGGTATGAAATTCTTTGAAACCGATCGTTTTCCTTCAATTTTTATTCAATTATCTAAACTTCACATCTTGAAACATCGAGCCCTCTTTGAAACCTTTCACTCGATCCCATTTCTTCGGAATTCTTTTGTCTTTGAAATCCTGAAATAATTCGGATAATATGGTCTTCTTATATGACCGATGAAGTCCTTTTGGGACGCCTCAAGGACAATGGATATTAATGGGCCCGGGGCTGTTTGGAGGTGACCGCTGGGCGGTATCGGGCCGACGGTGGGTAGTCTCTCCAACAGTACCCACATAGGTTTAGACCCGTACACAACTGGAGGTTAGTTGGGTTTCGGGCTAAACCGGCATGCGCCCGGGCATGCCACATTGCATTACAGGGTCATTCCCTGATCGGTGAATAAGGTAGTAAATGGCTACGGGAGTCACAAGGTAGGTGTATTCTTATCTCTATTGATCGGAAAATCGATTGATCATTCTTACTATTATTCTTGAATTTCCAATCGAAATATAACCGTTAAACGCTTCTATTTTCGATATCACCTAATGGTTCGATCATTGAACTCTCTCTCAGATCATGTCGTCACTCGTTATTCTTATATTTCACCTCACTAAGTCTTCTATGACTTATCCCTCTACTTTATTCTGTCATATTCTCAGACACAGGTGCGGCTTGAATGCATCAGAGGAATTCCCGTTCGAGTAACTACCTTGTTTATATTTGTAAAATAGTGGTTCGATTAAGTTAAGAATAATCGTTGTCTTGTATTATAAATATCAGCGTTTGAATTTATTTATGTTATAGTATTGTAATCTCATAAGCTAGAAACTGCTGTTGTAAATGTCCGGAACCTTTGTACTTTACCTTGCTAGACATGAGGTTGTTAATAAATAAATCGTACGTATTTTTGTGAACTATAGTTTGATTAGTATTATTCAAGAAAAAAAAAATATAGACAGATTCTTTCAATAGAGTAATTTTGACAAACGCTTCATAGAAGGCGGGCGTCACATTACCCTCAATCATTTACACCCAATTCTTAATTGTAACTGAAATTTAATCAATTTTGTCCACAAAAATCCAATTTTGATCACAAAAATTCAATTTTGACTTTTTTTTTTCAAAAAAAAAATTTTGCCGCCGGATTCCGGCGTTGACTCTTCGATTTTATTTATTTATTTTTTTTTTCTTCCGGATTTTTTCGCCGGTTTCCGGCGTTAAATTTTTTTTTTTTCTGGTCTGTTTTTTTGCGCCGCCGGATTCCGGCGTTGACTTTTTTTAGTGTTTTTTTAGTTTTTAGTGTTTTTTTTTTTAAATCCGCCGCTAAACGTTGACCGTAATTGTGCTGTCACTGACAGTAAATTAACGTAATTATACTGTCAATGACAGTTAATTAACGTAGTTGTACTGCCGTTGACAATACATTTATGTAATTGTTCTGCCGTTGACATTAAATTAACGTAATATTATTATTTTTTACTTTTTGTTATTCATTTTTATTTTGTTTGATTTGTTGACAAGACGACAATTATATTACTGTCGTTGACAGTAAAATAACTGTAAACTAGGGCTGTGCGTTGGTTGGTTTGGTTAAAAACCAGGCATAAAACCAACTCAACCCATCCAACCAACTTTGGCAAATATTGGAAACCGTTATCGACCCAACTTACATGGGTTGGGTGATGGTTGAAAACCAATTTAATGGGTTGGTTGGTGGTTTGGTTGATGGGTCATCCATCTAAATATTTTTTAATTTTTTTTTTAATATTTTATTACTTGTTACAATGCTATATCTTTTATAAATTAAATGCGACTAGTTCAATAATATTCAAATAAAAGATTCAAAACATTACGGGCATATATATTGCAATTAAACATAAATAGTTCAACAAATAATAATCGTCCAAATATTTAGACTGTATATCTTAAAATTAAAATAGTTCAAATTAGATAATTAGGTTAATTTATTGCTTTTAGGATTTTGGTCAATATTAAACAATTTAATAAATGTGATATAAAATAGAAATTTGAAATTAAAACTATTAAATATTTTAATTAAAATTAATACATAATAAATTAATGAATAAAGTTGGTTGGCCGATATTAACCGACTAACCAACTTTTTAGCTTATTAGAAACCATTATCGACCCAACTATACATGGGTTGGTTGACATTATCGACCCAACTTAAATGGGTCGGTTGATGATTGATTAACCATCACAAAATGCGGGTCGAAAATTGGTTGGTTGATGGTTAAAACCGATCCATGCACAGCCCTACTGTAAACACAATAATATTACTGTCAACAACATCAATGTTATTATTTTTTGGGTTTTTTGTTTAGTTTGAGTTATTTACGGAGTAGCGTAATAATATTACTATCTATTATTGTAATATTGCTGTAAATACAATAATATTACTGTGGTTGACGGTAATATTACTGTTGTTATAGTAATATTGTGTCCACCACATCAATATTATTATTTTGTTTGGATTTTTTTGTTTGTTTGAGTTATTCACGGGGTAACGTAAATAATATTACTGTCTATTATTGTAACATTACTGTGGTTGACGGTAAAATTACTGTTGTTATAGTAATATTCTGTCACTCACAATAATATTAATTCTTTTGCCTTTTTATTATATTTACATTTGTTGAACGGTCAACATAGTAATATTACTCTATTACACAATAATAATGAGTTTTGTTGTTTTAATATTACTGTACTAGAGATTAATATAACAATATTACTGTGCTAAACTGTAGTATAGTTAATTTTACTATGTTTAACAGTAATATAGTTAATATTACTGTCAATCACAGCAATATTAATGTTTAAACGAAAAAATAATGTTAACGAAAAAAAATCGAAAAAGTCAACGCCGAAAACCGGTGGCGGAAAAATCAGGAGGAAAAAAAAAAGTCAACGCCGAAGACCGGCAGTCAACGGCGGTGACGGACAAATTTGTCCATAAAAATGTGTTTTCGGTCAAAATTGAATAATTTGTGAAATTTGGGGTCAAACTAAGGTTAAATTAAATTAAGGATGAAATTGGAGCATATTAAAGTATAGGGTTATTTTAGTCTTTTACAAAAATCTGGACCATGTGTGGACTTATTTGTAAAGGAGTTTATTGTTTGAATCTATTTATAAATAAGTAACAATTGATGGGCTTATTTGTAAAGATACCTATTTTTAATATTTACACGTTTCCCCAAATTCCCGTATCTCTATTTTTGGAACATGCCCTTTCTCCGTATTCGTTTTCCCGCTTCCCCGTATCGTCTTTTCCGTATCAGTGTTACATTGCAATTTGTGGGTGGAAAGCGTTTTTGTGGGCGGAAAAACGTTTTTTTTGTTTTTTTGGTTAAAAGAAAAGAAGGGTTGAAAGGTTTTCTAATCTACTTGGAATTCCTTTACAGAGTCCAAATTAAAGTAAAATTATGCCCAATATATATATATAGAGAGAGAGAGAGAATATTTACATACGCACACAAACACAGAATACAAACAACTACAAGCAAAATCGATATTCAAATCCATGGCAACCAGCAGTGCAAGGAATTTAATCTGGTCAGTTCTCGCTGCCGCAATTTTGGTCTTCACACTCTTTGCCGCCGCCGATAAACCGCCGGAAGTAGCCAAAAATCAACTGCCGCCGGCGGAATTAGCTACGAGAAGGGCGGTGAAGTTTTATTTATGGTGCATGACGATGATGAACTCTAATCAAATGTTAATCTGTTGATTATCAGATTAGAAGAAGAGAACGGAGGAGTTGGAGAGAAGAGGGAAAATGTTATTCATCCAACAGAAATATAAAATGTTACCGTTACAAGATAGGTGAATTGAGTATTTATACCCAATCACATAAAAGCGTGTTTGTAACTAAAAGCAAGAAGTGCTATTTGTAAAATAACAACTTCTATATGAAAGTAAAACTATACCTACGTTTATCAATCTAAGATATATTGAATATATATTTACACCCCCCCCTCAAGATGGAGAGTAAACATCTTTAACTCCCATCTTGACCAGAAGATAGTTGAAACTTGAAGAAGGTAAAGCCTTGGTGAACAAATCGGCCAATTGATCTTTGCTTGAAACTGGCATGAGTTTTAAAATGCCAGACACAACTCTTTGTCTCACAAAATGGCAGTCAATTTCAATGTGCTTAGTCCTTTCATGAAATGTTGGATTGGAAGCAATGTGCACAGCAGCAAGATTATCACAGAACAGTAGAGATGACTTAATAGGTATGTGGAAATCCTGAAGAAGTTGAAGAATCCAGATGAGCTCACTGGAAGTCATGGATAAAGCCCTGTACTCAGCTTCTGCAGAACTCTTGGACACAGTAGCTTGCTTCTTTGCTTTCCAAGATATGAGAGAATCACCAATGAAGACACAAAATCCTGTGGTGGACTTCCTAGTGTCTGGACAGGAGCCCCAGTCTGCATCTGCAAAAGATTTAACAGTGAGAGAGGATTTTGCAGAATAAAAAATGCCCTTACCAGGAGAAGACTTGAGATATCTCAAGATGTGATGAATGGCATGAAGATGAGGCACCCTAGGCTTTGAAACATATTGACTTAGCTTATGCACAGCATAAGTAATATCTGGCCTTGTAATGGTGAGATAAATAAGCCTACCAACCAGTCTTCTATACTCAGATCCATCCTCAAGCAGATCACCATCTTCATTATTGAGCTGTGCTTTGGGATCCATGGGCAGCAAAGCAGGCTTACAGCCCAAATAACCAGCATCCTCCAATAGCTTAAGAACATACTGCCTTTGAGAGAGAGCAATGCCAGTAGAATTCCTAGCTATCTCAATACCAAGAAAAAACTTTAGCTTTCCCAAATCCTTAAGTTTGAAAAATGAGTGCAGCTCAGTTTTAACTATCTGTATCTCAGTGGAAGAAGGCCCTGCAATAATCATATCATCCACATACACAATTAAAGCAATAAACTGAGAAGAAGAACCTCTAGTAAACAAAGAATGATCAGATGGAGACTGAGAAAACCCAATAGAAGTTACTGCCTCAGTGAACTTTTGATTCCACTGCCTTGAAGCCTGTTTTAAACCATACAAAGACTTGTGCAACTTGCAAACCAATCTAGTATTAGACAAAGCAACAGAAGAATGCTTATAGCCTGGAGGAATATCCATAAAAACTTCTTCCTTAAGATCCCCATTCAAAAAAGCATTATTTACATCCAATTGGTGAAGCTCCCAATTATGAATGGCAGCTAAAGCCAAAAGAATTTTAACAGTGACTAACTTAGCAACAGGTGAAAAAGTATCAATAAAATCTACCCCTTCTTGTTGAGTAAAACCTCTAGCAACAAGTCTTGCCTTATATATATCTACAGAGCCATCTTGCTTTCTTTTAATCTTATACACCCATTTACAACTTACAGTGTGTTTATGAGCAGGTAATGGCTCTATAGTCCAAGTATGATTAGCTTCCAATGCTTGAAGCTCAGCATCCATGGCTTGGATCCACAAAGGATTCTTCACAGCTTGTTTATAAGTAGATGGTTCAGTGTCAGCTGAAACATTCATGATATAAGCAAAATGATCTGCAGAAAGCTTATTATAAGCTACATGACTAGAAATAGGATAAAGTGAAGTAAAACCAATAGAAGAATGGCACTGAAAATCAGCCAAATAGGCAGGGGGCTTAGTGGCTCTGGAAGACTTTCTAGTCTGAGGAGGAGCTGAACCATTAACCTGTGGAGTAACAGAACTAGGGAGATAATCAACATCAAGAGCAGAGTCAGCAGATTCAGTAGAAATAGGCACAACAGAAGGTGGAACAGAATAATCAGGAGCTAAATACTTTTCAAAATTCATATTTTGATCCCCAAAAGGAAAAATGTGTTCATGAAAAACAACATCCCTAGAAATAATGACTTGATGAGATTGCAAATCATACAACTTGTATCCCTTGATGCCAACAGGATACCCCAATAAAACACAAGGTATAGCTCTAGGCTGAAATTTTGACCTCTGAGCTGGTAAGGATGAAGCAAACACTAAACATCCAAAAACCCTGAGAGAATGATAATCAAACATCTTACCAGGATACAGCAGCTCAAAAGGAGAGACATTACCAAGCTTAGCTGCAGGAGTTCTATTGATCAAGAAAACTGCAGTAGAAATACACTCATTCCAAAAAGTGATAGGCATATGAGATTGAAACAGTAAAGATCTGGCAACATTAAGAATGTGTTGATGCTTTCTCTCAACTACAGCATTCTGTTGAGGCGTATAAACACAAGAAAACTGATGAAGAACACCAAGTTTAGCAAAAAGCTGAGTAAATTGCAGTTCATGGGCATTATCAGACCTGAACACCTTAATTTGACAATTAAATTGAGTCTTAATCATATGGAAAAAAGAAGGAATGACAGTTAAAACATCAGATTTGGATTTAAGAAAATGAACCCAAGTAAACCTAGAGTAATCATCAACAAGAGTAACAAAATACTTGTAACCATTGTGAGACTCAACTCTGTAAGGCCCCCAAATATCACAATGAATAAGATCAAACATATGTGAAGAAACAGTAGAACTAATAGGAAATTTTAAACGTTTTTGTTTTGCCATAGGACAAATATAACAACAAGAATTATTCTTAGGCTTATCTATGCCTAAAGAAAACTTAGTAGACAAATGATCTAGCTTCAACTGAGGGATATGCCCAAGTCTATTGTGCCAAACATTGGCAGAAACTTTATTACAAAAAACATCAATAGAGCCAATGTGAGGCTGAAGCACATATAAACCATCAATTTTGCTACCCTTGCCAATCTTCTTCAAGAACTTGTCCTGAATAAGAAAGGAATTAGAATCAAAAATAACTGTGTGAGGTAAATTGTCAAGCAAAGCACTGACAGAGATTAAATTAAACTTAAAAGAAGGAACATAAAAAACATTTTTCAAGATCAGATCATCTGACAAACATACATCTCCCATATATTCAACAACAACCAAGGAACAGTCTGGTAATATGACTCTAGCAAAATTGACTTTATGAAGAGATGAAAATAGAGTTTTATCATTACAAATATGGCGAGAAGCCCCAGAATCAATTATCCAATAATGAGGTTTAAATGATGCATGAAGAGAAGCTGCTAAGCATATACCTGACACACAAGAAATGTGTGCAGCTTCAACCTCATCACCTTGAGACTGCTGAGCAGGAACCTGTTTCTTGGCAGCCATTTGATTTGAAAAATATGCCATCAATTGCTGGCATTGAGCTGCAGACAAGTTAGCCAAAACGGGATCAGAAGAAACAAGAGAAGATTGAGAAGTACTCCCTGAAGATGTATAATCAAGAGGAGACTCCATGGCAGAGACTTGATTAACAGAAAATCTGCTTGGAGGCAAAGAGGAATATCTTGGTTTAGCTTTATAACCGGGTGGATATCCATGTAATTTGTAACACTTATCAATTGTATGCCCATAAATGCTGCAGTGAGTACAAAAGCCCCTTTCCTTCCTCTTAGGTGCAGAGTTAAAGTTGGCATGATTATGCACAGATCTCTGTGTATTCTGATCACCACGAATTGAAAAAGCTAGTGAATTCTGCACCTCATTATGTGAAGAATGAATAGACCTCTGCCTCTCTTCTTGAGAAACAAGAGCAAAAACCTTGTTGATAGGCGGCAGTGGATCCATGAGAAGAATTTGACCACGTGTGGAAGTCAAAGACTCATTCAACCCCATGAGAAACGCCATCACATGTTCTAGGTTGTAATGTTCATTAAGTTTCTGAACACCACCACACGTGCAGGCTCCACAAGTACAAGATGGCCGAAAATTGGACAATTCATCCCAAATAGCCTTCAATTTTGTAAAATACACATTGACAGACTGTGTATCTTGAGTAAGATTAGTCAATTCCCGACGTAATTGGAAAATGCGCGGACCATTAGTTTGTGAAAATCTGGTATTTAGATCCTTCCACATCTCGTGAGCGGAATCAGAATACATGATGCTGGCCTGAATATCTTTGGACACAGCATTCAAAATCCACGAGATAACAATACTGTTATTTCGAACCCAGGCATTGTGAAGAACCGCTTCTTCCCTACTCGGTTCAACGATTGTACCATTGATGAACCCTAACTTGTTCTTCACCGTGAGTGAAATCTGCATCGCGCGACTCCAAGAGGCAAAGTTATCTTCAGAGAGTAGCTGCGAAACGAGAACTAATCCTGGACCATCAGACGGATGCAGATAGAACGGACTGGAAACATCATCAACTCGCCGATTTGCCGCCATGGTTGCGAGAAATCAAAACTCAGAAATGACCGAATGGATGAACAATTGAAGAAATTGATCGCGATCTGATCAATTAATGAACATGCGGAAGCGAAAAAATCAAAAACCTAAACTGATACCATGTTAATCTGTTGATTATCAGATTAGAAGAAGAGAACGGAGGAGTTGGAGAGAAGAGGGAAAATGTTATTCATCCAACAGAAATATAAAATGTTACCGTTACAAGATAGGTGAATTGAGTATTTATACCCAATCACATAAAAGCGTGTTTGTAACTAAAAGCAAGAAGTGCTATTTGTAAAATAACAACTTCTATATGAAAGTAAAACTATACCTACGTTTATCAATCTAAGATATATTGAATATATATTTACATCAAACGCGGTACTGTGGTCCATGGGAAATCAGCTGTACCGGACCTAGCTTAATCGGATGCAGATACCATTACGAAGAGGTTCAGAACCGTTACGAAAAGACTGGTCGATTGTCGGAGGATTACGTACAAGCCCTCAGAATGTATAATAATTACAATCAAACCGATGTAGATATAGATATTTGCAACCTCGCCTACAGCCGTTGTCCCAATGAAACCAAGGCGCTTAACACCCGTTGCACGACCGTAGGGCTAAAATCCGGTAGTTTTTTCTGTTCAAATATGTGAAGTGGTCATAGATGTTAAATTTCTTTTTTCTTTGTTCTTTTTTTCAAAATTTCCCTTGAAGTAGATTTTGGTGGATATGCAGCTTGTTTGCTATATATGATGAGTAGCATACATTTTTTTTTATCATACTACATATTTTAGGATTATGATTTGAATGAAAAGAAGTGATTTTGGGGCTAAGATATAGGTTAAATTACGAAAACCTATCCGTGTGATTAGGCTAAATCACGGAAAAACACTCGACCTATCCGTGATTACCAAAATTTTGTTGATCTTACTTTGTTTCCATCTTACACAGAACCTCGGAAATATTCGACGAAAAATGCCTCGATAAAATGATTGTGCCCATGCACATTGTTTAAGAAATTACTTATATATGCTATGATGGTTCATATTAGCAATCGTGAAAGTCTACTAACATAAATTATTACTACCAATGCCACCTACATTTAAGAGGCTGCTCTTCGGGGTAGAATCAACATTTTTAGGGAATATCTTTTAACAATAAAAATATCACGTGAAAAATCACACTGCAAGGGGTCGGTGTAAGATGGAAAAAATTATCGGGGCGATTTTGGTAATTACGTATAAGTAGTGGTGTTCAATATTACTGTCTCAGAAAAATAATTTTGTGGGAAAATTACAGTTTATGTCCCTAAACTTTACCACTAAAATGACTTATGTCCTAAAATATTTCAATCCACGAAATATGTACTTTAACTTGCCACTTTTGAACACTTTATGTTCTGCCGTTAACGCCGGCAGCTCACTTCGACGTCGGAGGAGGCGGTTGTGGAGGAGCGGAGAAGAGGGCGCCAGGTGGCGAAGGACAGTGGTGGAGTAGAGAAAAAAATGATAGAGAAGGAGAAAAGTAGAGAGAGATCGAGAGTGAGAGAATGAGACGATGGTAGAGCCTTAATTGGGTTTGGAGAGATCGAGAGTGAGAGAATGAGACGATGGTAGAGCCCTAATTGGGTTTGGCAGTTTGTGTAGTGAGGGCATAATTGAGTTTGTTATAGATTAATAGGTTATGTTAAATTCAAATACTATATAAGGGGTATCAAAAAATGGTAAAAATTGTTTGGGCCTGCACTGTTGGCAAATATGTTTTGAGGGGGCCTCCCTAACTAACCCTATTTAGATTAATATTAGGTTGATAGTATGGTAAAAAATTAAATGCTAAAAACAATGATGAAGATGAATGCATAGTCTAACTAATTTTTTACTAACATTTTCTCATGGGTTTTTGCTTTCATGTATTCTTGTTCAATGATGAAGATGAGTGAATGGTCTAACTAATTTTTAACTAACTTTTTCTCATGGTTTTTGTGCTTTTGTATTCTTGTTGATTTGTTGATGGTTCATTAGTAATGTATTTTTTCACTACTCTTATTTAGGTCAATTTTAGGTTGATGGTACAACTGCTATTGACTTTTATATATATATATATATATATATATATATATATATATATATATATATATATATATATATATATATATATATATATATATATAGGTAACAGATATGCATAGACTATATTCCAAAGTTCTATTTTCTCTCATTCATATCTCAAAATGTCCCTACTTTTGAAACAACTTCACTTTTCATGTTTCATTGTACTGTTGTTTCATATTAGTTTAAGTCAAGATGATGGTCGGTTAGTCACGAGACTAACTCACCATCATTCTTTCAACTCTCCTTTCTTTGATTCTAAACTTAGTATGAAAGATCGTGGTCTCTTCGATTTAAAAAGCTCTATATATAGAGCAAGTTATTTGGTAAGCAACACTACTAGTTCTTTGTTGCACTTAACCGACCTTGAGTCGGAACTTTATTCATGGAGAAATACAGGTTTTCTCGTCCATCTAAAGGTTGGGTCGAGAAATATGTCCCAAAATGTCTACATGGACACTGCCAGTAGCTTATTTTGGATAAACTGTGAACCATGCGGTCTTAATGTGTTGGGTCCTTTATTTCACCCAAAAGAGTCTTCTACCTATGAGGTAGAGGACTGCAACGATTATGATTATATTTGCATAGGAACTGGTGCAGTTAACATTGAGTGTGACAGTGTTAAATGCACATTTGCGATACAATATGGTTCAGCTTTTAGTAAAGGAGTCCTCGCCAGGGAACAGTTTAAATTTGGAATTAGTCCACAAGTGCTAAAAGGCATTGTATTTGGTTGTTCATCTTACTCCAAAGGTATTAATGCCAATGGTGTTCTAGGGCTTGGTGGCAGTTCTCTTTCCCTCCGTGCGCAGAGAGGTTATACGAAATTTGCTTACTGCCTAGGCAATATTACCGACAGGTCATATCTATATAGCAGGTTGATTATAGCGGATAAAATTACCTTCACTGGTTTCGAGACGCCGTTGATTGTAGAAGATAAATATTACATAAATTTGGAACGCATAGAGATTGGTGAGATTACGTTAGCCGTTGATCCACATATTTTTAGAAGAAATTCTGTTGACTACACTGGGGGAATGATAGTCGATGCCAGTTCAACCTATACCTTTATGCCACAAGTGGTATTGAAAATGATCGAGGCTGAAGTGATCAGAGTGATTAGATACAACGCCAACGAAAATCCTTACAGTCTTGTCAAAATAACGAGGAATGAGTCCATCCTACACGAAGGACCCGAAGGAGTGTACAACAGGCTATGCTATGACGGAGTTCTAACCAGAGACTTGAAATCTTTTCCAACCGTGCGATTTGTGTTTCAAGGGGATGCGAGTATGGAAATGATTCCTGAAAATGTTTTTCATCAAATTTCGGAAGATACTTATTGCTTGGGAATCTTACCGATTGAGATTGTGAATCGGGGTGCTACGGTTAATATACTAGGTAACGTAATGCAACAGTATTTGTACATCGCATTCGACCTTTTTAAGGAGAGACTTACATTTAAAGCTATGGATTGTAGCGCATGGGATGATTATATCCCATAGGCAAAGGGAATCATTAAAGACTATTGTAATAATAAACTAGTTTTCTTTTCATTGAATATGAATGCAATCAATCATTTGAAATATTTTTATTAAGTACAATTAATATTTCTCTATGAGTTTAATTAGTGGATGCATGTTTTTAATTATCCACCAAAACTTGAACGTGTGAACTAACAATCTTTTGCCAAACTATAAAAAGTTGTTCAGTTTTTAGTAGACATGCTGATTGAATGGTTACTTCTGCATTGAATCATTGGTAATTGTTGATATGCACACTACATCGAATCATTGTTTCTTTTTTTTTTTTTTTTTTTAATTATTATTCCATTAAATATAGGCGAAAGGGCCCTCGTTAAAACCTTGTGGGCCTAACACAAGGAAAAAGAGTACCCCTATAATGGTAATAAAAAATCCAGTGTCTAATCTAGCTAGACTATTACAATACATCCCCAAAATGAGGTAAAAAGTGAAATCAAAGAAACTACAAGTCCTAATTCTAAAAATCCAATAAAAGTTTGTATTATTGTTGTTAGCCCCCCAGATGTGGGTTAATCTATAATTAATCCAGCATAGGGGGCCTGACCAAAGCACCCAACGCAGCACTTCTGAAAATTGCGAAATCGCCCCCAAAAAGGACCAGAATGTAAATAAGTGCATTATGTCGAACCTTCATCGTCCAGCACTCATCAAATGGGAAAATTCGCTATTCCCAATTTGTCACAAGTATAGGCAGCTCTCACCTCCGGCGGTAAGTTAGAGGCGGAGTATACAAGAACGATGTCACAAATTGAAGATTTATAATTCAGCGTAGTATACAAGAACGACGCCAACAAAGAGGGAGTCTTTGTATTTTGATTAAGTCCTACTATTATATTCGTAAAACAAAAAATTAGTAAATTTCATTTGCAGGTCCACGTGGATGTAGGGTACAATTGTATCTGAACCACATTAAATTTGTGTCTCGTTTATTTATGTTTTTACGAACTGCTTCACGAACTGTTGCAACACTTCACGCATCAGTAACGGAAAACTGAATCCGACACAAATAATTTATATATGCACGAAATAAATTCTAACAATTGGCATCAAGAGCCTGTCACTAGATACACTTAGTGACATTTTGGGATTTTTTTTTTTTTTTTTTTTGTGCAGATATGCTTAATCGTGAAGGAGCGTCTACAGTACGACCACCTCTCTTGGATGGATCAAATTACTCTTACTGGAAATCGAAGATGAAGATGTTCATCAAGTCCGTTGATGAACGAGCTTGGCGTGCTATCGTGACTGGTTGGACCCCGCTCATGGCTAAAGGAACGGGTGGTATGCAAACGCTAAAACCAGAAGAAGCATGGACTAATGAAAAGATATTACTTGCCAATTACAACTCAAGGGCGATAAACTCAATTTTCAGTGGCGTTGGTGACAATCAGTTCAAACTGATATCATTGTGTGAATCAGCAAAAAGGGCATGGGAGATTCTACAAGTGACGTATGAAGGCACATCAACTGTTAAAACATCTAAGTTGCAGATGCTAGCTACAAGATTTGAGAATATTCATATGGAGAAGGACGAGACGATTGTTGATTTTCACGCTAAACTGTGTGATATTTCAAATGAATCATATGCACTAGGCGAACAATACTCGGAAACAAAGTTGGTAAGAAAGGCACTACGCTCATTACCAGAAAGATTCGCTTACAGAGTTGCAGCAATCGAAGAAGTGGGGGATATCAATACGCTAAAGCTAGATGAACTCATGGGTAAACTGCAAACCCAAGAAATGAATTTTAGAGCAAATATTCGAGAAAAGAAAAGGTGAAGAATGTGGCATTCCAGGCTGAAGCTTCCCATGGCATCTCACAAGGCCAAACATTTCATGAGTATGACATTGATGTTAAGAATCCTTAGCAATTATGTCAAATAACCTCGAAAGCCTGCGTCAAGAAATTGAAAATAGAGGAAGTTCCTCTCAATCAGGTAAGTCTGTTAACCCTAAAAAAAATTAAAAAGTTTTCTAATAATGGTTATTCTGATGATGCAAAGTCTAGGAGAATGCAATGTCGAGAGTGTGGGGGTTTTGGACATATTGCCGAGTGTGCGAACACCTTGAAGAAAAAGAGGGTGTCACTCACCACTGTTTGGAGTGATAAAGAGGACAGTGATGAGGATGAGAACAACAAAGAAGATCAAACCACAAACTTTATGGCATTCAGTGGTACTACTTTGATGAGCAGAACCGAGGGAACTGTTGCAACAATCTGTCCGACAGATTTCAAGTATGATGAATTATCTTCAAATAAGAACAATAGTCCGACTTCACCATTTAATTTTGCAGGTGACTCTGAGAGCAGTAGTGATGATGAAGAGCCAACCCTCGAAGAGGTCAAAGATGTATATGAAAAAATGTATTGGAAGTGGCTTGAAGTATCTGAGGTAAATAAGCGCCTTGAAAAGGACAAGTGTGTTCTCATAGAGGAAAATGAAGTGTTGAAGGTAAGAATTTCTACTCTTGAATAAAATGATATTTCTACTAGTAGAGAAACAGATAGGTTGAAGGTTAAATTTGCTCAAACCCAAGATGCTATTTCTAAGTTTAATACTGGTAAGGTAACTTTGAATGAAATTTTGAACAAAAATCAGCCGAACTATGGTCGTATAGGTATAGGGGGTAATCAGCTATCTAATGATGCATTGAAACGGAAAGAGGATCCAAAAAGAAAAATCAATTTTGTTAAACAATCCACTGTTTTACAAACTGTTGCGACAGTTGCATCAACACAATCATCTCAAAGAAAAGTTTTTGTCCCGACCTGTCATTTTTGTCATGTTCCTGGTCATATACGACCCAGGTGTTTTAAGTACTTGAAAATGGTTAAAAGAATAATGGCCCGCTCACCACTTTCTGCTAAAATTGATCACACTTTTGTGTCGTCTAAAACCCAAGATAAATGTTGATTTAGTGAATAAAACTCAACAAAAAATCTGGATAAAGAAGTCTGATCTTAATTGTTTATCTGCCATTACTTCTTTAAAATCATGTGATGATAGTATTAAATGTTCCAACAGTTCTGGTGACAAAGCTAGTTTGGGGAATCAAAAACTTGGTAATCTGAATTGTGATAATTTGTGTGCGAAAAATAAGTTTATGAATCCAATTCAGCCTTCGAGAACTAAGCTTACTGATATTTGTCATTGTTTCATAAGGGCTTGGTCGAAAAAGGGGTTGTCTCAATTGATTATGCTGCAACGGAGAATGAATTAACTGATGCTTTTGCAAAAACCCTTGATGCACAGGGATTTGATTCCTTGCGAAAATTGCCGGGAATTTATGTTGTTTAATCTAATGCAATTGCATGAACTGTTGCAACAGTCTGTGTGTCCAGACTTGCAACTTTTAGTGGTAGGACACTTCATATTTTTTGCATCTCATATAGGACACTGCATATGATTGAGAAAAATGTGAATTCGATACTTCGTGTACTTCTAAACTTTATGGGGGTAGAACTTCACCAATTCCCAAAATGATTACTTAAAAGGCTCTAACTTATTTATTTCTCTGTATAGTCTTGTCATGGTTGGATGTTTTTGTAGGGAAAAACAGCCTCTTTTAATGAGTGAAAGCTACTCTTGAACTACTGTTACTAATATATATATCTACAACCATTTGGTAAGTGAATAATTCGAAGCCTTTTTGAGTCGAGTCAGTAAATCACGTGGCCGAAAGCTCGCTACAAGGCTCAATTAGAAAGCCCAGGGGACTACACATTGCACGGCCAATATAAATTATATATATGGTCAGTGAATAGTTCGAAGCCTAGTTGAGTCGAGCCAGTAAACCACTTGACCGAACACTCACTACAAGGCTCAATTAGAAAGCCCAGGGGACTACACATTGCACGACCACAATAATCTCGTTCCTTTTAATTGCTCTGTTTTTCATGGGAAAAAAATACCATTAGACGTGTGTGTACGCTACCTAATAAGAGAATCTTTGTGTTTGACTTGGGATTATTAAGTTTATTGGTTGCATTGGCAGTCGGATTTTTGGGGATTGCGTTTATCGTGAATGTGAAGATAAATCCCATATGTTTTGTTTGTCCATGCAGTATCCTATTCACATATATCTCTTCACTCATGTTTACCTCTTGTCTTGCATTAGGCATTATTTAAAAAAAATAAAAATAAAGAGAGAGAGAGAGAGAGAGAGAGAGAGAGAGAGAGAGAGAGAGAGAGAGAGAGAGAGAGAGAGAGAGAGAGAGAGAGAGACGGGATTTTTGTTTATGTGCCGGTTAAATTTATTTTTTTGTTGCAGCCGGATCTATTGAGCTTACTCCTCACATTTCCACGTTTCCTATGAAGTTTGGCAAAGTCTGTAGTCTTTGTTATTTAATGTTGGATTTTATATCATTATCCTTTGATTTTCGCATTGCAATTATCATGTGGTATTGAGTTTGTGATTTTGTATGCACGTCATGTATGGTGATCGATCTTACTTACTTTCAAAAGTCTCTCTTCGTTTGATTTTTTTGCTAAGTATTTGAACAGCTTGCTCGAATCATCAAGATGATTCGTTTGATTTATCTATGCATGGTGATTGCCCAGAAAGGGGGAGAAAAGAACAGTAACGCTGGCATGAACACAGGGGGAGTTCCGAAAACTGTTACTACAGTGCATCAGACAGTTGTTGAAACAGTACAGGAATGCAGGGAAAGTTCATACAATTGTTGAGACAGTGCATCATACAGTTTTTGAAATAGTGTAGAAATACAGGCCAAATAATGATCATTGGGAAGAGAAGTTGTTTCTGCTACTGCATATCCTTTTATCTCGTGCTTATCTGAATGAATTATCTGCTTTTATTTTGGAACTATGGTTTATTTACAATTTACACTATCTGTTGAACTGTTTGATAAACTGTTGCAACAGTTTATATTCGCAGATGTTATTCTGAATCTGTTAACCCTTGTTCATGCAGGTATCATATATTTAGGGGGAGTAAATGTTCTGACCAATCAATGCCAGAGGGGGAGAGTGTTAGTGTTAGAATCTCGGTGGGATTCTACGTTCACAACACCAAGTAGAATCCTATGGAGATGTGTATTAATATGAGGAACATATTTTCCTTAGTTATCTCATTAGATAATTTGAGAATAAATAAATTATCTCTCCATATTAATCACCTGAACGTGTCTATCCAAAATAGAAGGAATTTCACATTTTTATTTTTGTGGTTATTGTCATTAATTGGTTTCCTTGTTATAATTAGTATTTTATTAGAATAGGACTT